TGCTTCAAATTTGGGATCATGGATGACAGTCCATCGCTGTCCATTCGCGAAAAACTGAAGCAAAACCTTCCTCGAATTCCACTTGGTGAGGCTGTCGCCTAACTGCACGCCGCCGTGAACCCATCTAAACTGAGTTCCAACCTGCAGTGCTTGGCACACTGAAATCGTGAGTTCATACCCCGATCTTGAAGACCTGAGGCCGTGGAGGCTTGAAACATTTCTCGTGGCGGCATCAAAAATGCCACGAGTGTCCATCACGACAGCTCCATGGGAGCACTCACGAACAACTGAATACAGGTTGTGGCGATCAAATGACTTTCCGTGCAACTCACACCAAAAACTTCGAGCACGGAAGACCAAATCTTCTGCCTCAGTCACACTTTGTACCTCGGCTCCGTTGGAGCCTAGCACCTGGCGAGGCGCTTTAGTGGATTTCCACTGAATGAGGGACACAGGAAACTCTACCCCGTTCAGTAGCTCATGTGGAGCCATGCCAACCACAACGCCCAAAGTGGAGCTCTGGTCAGGGCGGTTCTTCTGTGAGGCGTCAGCCCAAGCCACTGTTGCAATCTCCTGCCATGGGCGGTTCCAGTGAAAGAAGGTCAAACCCTGTTGAGCTTCTCGCATCATCTCTCTGGCCACCTTGTTGGCACGGATGAGGGTGTCAACCGTTGCATACGGCACTTCCGACAAAAGGAGGCCGCAATCAGCAAGGAACTGTGGAAAGGTTTGAGAGGCACGCCATGCCATTGTCCCAACACATCCACGAAGGGCTGATACCTCAGCGGCTGTTGCCTTGTCCTTCTTCAGCTGCATTCGTTCGGCTGTCAGCGGAATTTCTTCGATCCAGCGATCTGTGTACTCTTCTTGAGAGACTCGGATGGTCTTGTCGGCATAGGACTGGATCTGACAACCTGTGAAGGTGAAGGCATCCTCTTCCCACTTTCCCCACTTGTAGGCTTCGCCCAGCTGGCGAAAGGCATTCTGAAAAACATCACTGTCTTCTTGGCCTCCGACCAGTAGGTCATCTACGTGGGTTCCAATGACACTGACAATCGGCATCTCTTCTTGAGAGTGGTCTTTGAGGATAAACACGCATTGGTCGGCCTGGAGCCTCGTGTAGCCAATCTTCTGGAGAGTGCCAGCGAGGTGATCATACCAGGCCCTGGGTGCATTCACTAGGCCATAGAATGCACGCCGAATGCGAAGTGCCTTCACTGGAGCTTCAGGAGCAGCTCCAAATAACACAGCAAGCTCTGATGGCGCCCATACCGTCAGGTTCTGGTCCTCCATGTCCTGGTCCGCCTGAAGGAAGGCAGACGTGACGTCGCCGCCTCGGATTCGGAAGCCCAGGTTGGCGCACATAGTGAGAACCATGTTTCTGGAAAGGCGGGCCATAGTCGGAGATGAGCTCTGCACATTGACCAAGTTTGGTGCTTGGTATCCAAGCACGACCAAGCGAGCTTTAGAGTCTCCATTGGGTTTCACCGTAAGAACCCACCGCATACTCATCACGGTCTTGGGGTTCAGGTTCTTCTCTTCTTGCAATGTCAGGCTGCGAAGAGCTTTGGACTGCAAGACGTTGCTAAGCTCTTTGGCCTGTGCTGCATCAAAGGAAACCTTCTCATCCATCGTGAGCTTGCTCCATTCTTTCTCTTTTCCTTTTTCCATCACTTTCTTTGACAACCACACCTCAGCGCTGTTGGGGTGATTGCTCAGCCATTGCACCTCCTTGGGGGTGATGTCAATCTCGATGGAAAAGGCGGTGTCTTCATCCACCGTGAGGTACATGTTCTGTTCGCTCCTCTTGTCAGGAGGCTTCTTTCCTTTCCCCTTGATCACCTTGGTCGGTGGAGGCTTCTTCTTCTCCGGAATCATCTCTTCGGAGGAATCACTTGAACTTGAGCTGGAACTGGAGGAGGAATCATCATCTTCATCCATTGTGATGCCATCCCTTGAGTTCCAACGAAAGCGCTTGCCATGCTGGTTGATGTGAGGTCCATCATGGCCACCAGGAAGTGAGCATTCACGCACTGAACAGTGATTGCCGATCACTGTCTGCCCTCCACGTTCTTGAGGAGTCATAGCTTCATCAAGCTGAGCATTTGGACGTGGAGTTGATGGCATTCCTGCCGGAGTTGGCGGGATAGCCAAACCTTCAGCTGCTGGCGCTTCAGGTACAGGAGTCTTCTTGGGCACCTGTTCGAGGGATGGATCATCTTTTCCTTCTTCTTTCTGTCTCTTGGTTCCCCTCGATGTTGGTGCGGATGCGCTGGCGGTTGAAATCTCCAGCCAAGTTTCTCCTGTCCATCGCTCTTGTAGATGTCGGTGAGGTTCATCAGACTCACGAAAATCGTCCTCGAGGGTGATCTTGTTCGACCCAGGGACTGCAGGCTGTACATATGTCTTCCTCACACCTGTCAAGCGGTCTTCAGGGACAGGGCTTGATGCAACTCTTGCCGGAGTGAACAAACCGAGTCGGGGAGCGCGATGAACACGGATCAGCCATTTCTCATTTTCGACTCGCCAGTGGCCATTCTTGGGCATCTTCTCTTTGGGCTCGAGGGTCACGGTAGCACCGCTCACATCTTTCTCACGACTCTCTTCAGGCGGAGTCTCACCACAAATGTTGGTGAAGTGCTTGCCAGTGAAGTGTCGGAGAAGTGAGTCAAGCGTCACCGGCATTCGATAGACGGCCGTGCCCTCTAAGCTGGCTTGAAGTTCCTCTCGCCGAGTGACTGCTCGAACCTGATTCAACTTTGCCTTGACAATTGCTGAGCCAGTCGCGAGCCAAAGAGTACTTCCTTCTTGAAGGAGGACTCGAAGAGGTCCTACCCACCGGCCTTTGCCACCTTGTTGTCTCCAGACCATTGTCAGGGCCCCTGTCTTGTAGAGGTTTGGAGCTCGGCCTGTGGCATTCGAAAGGCGGCTCATTCTTGACTTGGCATACTCCATCTCATAGGCCACCTTGGCTTTTGCCTTCAGTTTGAGCATTCCATCAAAGGCCTCACGAGGTCGAAGTCCAACAGGTAAGGTTGGCTCCGGAGCATCTGAGCCACGGCACCATTGGAAGGGCGAGAATCCACTGGCTCCGATCGTTTGGTCGTGTCCATGGACACTGAGGTTCATCAGGTTCTCTGCATCCATCTCTGGGCACTCTTTTCGCATGCGACGGAAGGTCGACTTGAGGATGTTGATACATCCCTCCTCTGCACCCATTACCCAATGAGCTTCTGCGGGTGCGGTGAGCACTCCGATGCCAGATCGGGCCATGTAGTCCAACACCTCCGATGCAGTATAGTATGTTGCTGGATCTGAGATGAACCATCTTGGAGCAGGGTTCATGGACAACCATCTTCCGAAGGACTTGAGGACATCGGAAGACTTTGGTTCCCAATGCTGAACATCGGTGTCTCCAGCGTAGATCTTCAGTAGATCAGCTTGTGCCAGGCCTGATGCACGGTCTCTCCAAAGAATGAATTTGGCCTTCCAGGTGAGGTCTCTCTCTTCATCAGGAATCTCGACCTCAAACACGTCTGTTCCAAGCTGCTCAAATAGGCCTGGAAAATCTTCAGTGCCTGAAGGAGGTGGCGGCTTGGGGCGTCGTGCTTCTTCACAGTCAGGACATCGAAGTTCTCCTGCTAAATCTATTGCCCATTGTGGCGCTTGCCTCATTCGGAGAAGCTTCTGCAAGTTGACCATCGATGAATGTCCTGAGGCACGGTGGATCCGCAGCATGGTCTGCTTCACCGTTTCCAGCTTCTTGCCTGTGGGCCTTTCTTGAGCATATCGTTGTCGCTGGAGTGCGAACAGTGAGGGATCTTCTTCTCGGAGCTGGTGAGGACATGTGTCAGCGATGTGTCCTTCATCAACCTCAAGCAGGTGCATCTGGACGTCGTTGGCCAGGGACATGTTGTGTTGATCTTCTGTTGAGGTCCATGATGAAATCACTGCCTGACAGATGGCCTTGACCATGGCCTCTGGGTAGTAGGCTGATGCCTGAGCTGCGGGGCCACGGCATTCAATATGATGTTGGTGACCAGGACATTTGCGCTGCAAGGACAGCCAGATCTGGCGATTGCTTGTCAGAACTGTCCAGCTCTTCAGGATGGGTTCTCCTTGAAATGCCAGTCCGTAGGCGCATCCATGAAAGCGACACCAGAACACTGGACGACCAAGCTGTCGCATCTTCCTGATCAGCTTCTGAATTGCTTTGCCGTTCCAACCCTTTGCAGCGCCTGTAGGCCATTCCCAAGCGAAGTCGTTGCCAGCATCAAGAGAAATGCATACGGCTTCACTGACATCTTCTGCCCTCTTCAAATCTCTGAATTGCCTCTGAGTGAAGAGAGCTTGTTCATGTTCTGTTCGATGAGTCAGGTTGACCAAGGGGCTGATGCGGGTGCACGGCAAACTGACCCAAGTCATCCGAGGAGGATGGAGAGTGATCTCCTGCCTCAGGAGCTGTGTGCCAGCTCGGGTCTCTAAGTCGTAGCCCTCTCGGTAGTTAATCCTCTTGATGCTGTAGCCCTTGTGTTCCATCATCGAACTCAGAGAGCTGTTGGGGGCACACGCAACTTCCATGAAGTCAACACCAAGCTGCATTTGTGTCATCAGGCTCTGAACGGGTGCGAGAACCATAGTTCCGACCAAGGCGGCTCCCAAAGCCATCTTCTTGAGGGTTCCGGCTGGAACTGCTTGGCTGTTGCTGTGTGCTTTGGCTGTAGTCTGTGTCCAGGCTCGTGGAAGAGCGTCAGGTGTTGTGGTCAAAATCGTGCCATGCGCATCACGAAGATATGGCGAAGAATTGCGATCTGAAAGATCTGTCGTGGTGTTCGTTGTGTTCGTAGTGCCTGTCGTGTGACCATGGCAGTCGGCTGCCGGGTCGCTGCTGGATCCAGATGGATCATGGGGATTGTGAGACATGATGTCTCCTGTGCCTTCGGAGGCACTGCCATTCTTCATCACCTTCAGTCGCCACCATAGCGAGTCCAGTGAACTTCTCAGGCTACCGGCTCCTTGGACTTGTCGTCCTTCATCGGCATCAACTCGTCTTCCGACGTGATGTCCACCACCGGGAGATACTCGCCATTCATTGTCGGCCCAGCTGATGGGGCTGCTGTCGATGGGCTTGATCGTGACAGGGCTGCCATCATCTCCTTCTTGGCCTTGTAGCCTGCCATCTGAGCGATCTCCTCCTTGAGCACCGATGGGGATCCCGGCACTGTCGTCGAAGGACTTGGCTCTCGAGGAGATGTCTTCTTGTCGCCCTTCGCCTCCGTCTCCCTTTTCGGAGACACTGGCTTGCCGTCGGCTCGGCCGAACTTCTCGAGGCGATCCTCGTACTCCTTCAGAGTGAGGTTGAGGGCCATGGGAGTCTTCAAGCCCATCTGCAACATCGTGCCCTTGATCTCCATGATCTTGCCGTTGACAACATCGGCGCTCATCTCCTCCGGCCTTGTGTTCTTCTCCAAGGAGCTCAATGCCAGCCGGATGATCTGAGGATCCGGGCCCATTTGGCGGGTCTGCCCATGCCCTGCCTTCTTGACCACGTATGTGGTTCGAAGGCCGCACCTGGTACAAAGAGTCCAGGTGGCGAACTGGTTGGATCTCATCTTGCCGTCCTTGTGACCACCGAAGCAGGGGAATCCCGTATGGCGTGGATCGTCGCATGCCGATGGAGTCTTCTCTGGAGAGGTCTTGTCCATGCTCACGGGAACGAACCTGCCGAAGATCTTTGAGCCGTTGAGCCAAGAGCTGAAGACGACTCTCGATGGAAGGTGGATCACAAACATACGGATTGCCGCCAACAGGATGAATGCTCTTCTGCAAAAACTCTTCATGTGCTTGCGAACTCATACGTGAACATGGTGACATCACAAAAACTGACTGCTCATGTGGTGGCTGCTGCTCAAAAGATGCTGCGCTTTCAATGTTTTCAACTGTCGCCAGGGTCCAGACCTCTTTGGCCGAAGTCACTGGCGATGCTTCTGCTGCCAGGTCGATGGTCAGGTGACCTGACGAGAGAGCTTCCAGCTGAACTGCACTGGCTTCCTCCTTCTCAGAACCATGATGCTCTGCATCGGGCTGAAAAACAAACATGCCATTGTGGTAGGAGATGAGCACATTTTTCTTCCGAAGCAGCTTTGCTCCAATGAGAGGAGGAGTTGAAGCGCCAGTACCATCCAGTACGAAAAAGGACATGGAGCCTAATGAAGTTCCCTCCAAGTCCACTCGACTGACCGCTCTATCGGTCAGCCCGTTCCCAAAACGGAAAGTGGGCAAATTCTCCCGGGAAACAGAGTACGAAAAGCTGGCTGAATTCACCAAGTCGCTAAGGGCGTTGATGCCCACTGCATTTTCAGTTGCACCAGTATCGATGATGGCTCGAGTGGCTCCTCGTCCATGCAGGGTGTGGGAATCCCAATGCACAGTGAAAACCATTGGCTCTACAAAAAAGGATGCCTTGCCACCAGATTTGCCCTTGCCCTTGGAGCTCTTCCCAAAACCTTTTCCTTTCTTTCCTTTGCCCTTGCCACCAAAACGGTCAGGGCACTGAGCATAGCCATGGGTGTTCTTGCCGCAGATGAAGCAGGGACCGAACCCACGGGTCTTTCCCTTTCCACTGTCTCCCTTCTTTCCTTTCCCTTTGCCCAGCATCGAGGACGTAGGTGTCATCCCCTTGCCAGAAGCACTCTCAGGAGAGTAGTAACCCCTTGCTGCACGAACTCTTTTGACTGCATCACGGGCTTCACGGAGAGTTCTTTGGGCCTCATTCGCTAAGGCGAAGGCCTCCTGAAATTGCTTCTCCTCTGGCACCTCACTGGTAGCGTCCGGCTCGAAGTCATCAGGCCATGCTTCATCTTGCCAATCGAGTTCGACCCAATGATCACTCCAGTCTTGCCAGTAGGTGGGCTCATATCCATCGTCCCAACTGACGGGACTCCAATCATGTTGCTGCCAGTCAAGCTCCTCATATCCATCTTCCATAGCATAGGCCTCAGGGCCCCAGTCTTCTTCCAACATCCAGGCAGTACGTCGTCGTTCATGAGGTTGCTGTTGACTTGCTTCCACATCATCAGAAAACAAAGTCCGGAGGGCCAACCTCACCTGGTGATAGTGAGTACTGTTGGCCGTCTGCGTCAAGACGTTCTGTCTCTCAGAGGTTGAAAGTCGAGCGGCCTTCAACAGTCGATATCCTCTCAACTCATCCTCAAAGAACGAGGAAATCCGGGCGTCAGCTGATTCTGAAACCTGTCCTCTTGCTCCTGCAACTGGAGATTGTGAGGGAGTGGATGGAGGATCAACTCTCGTCGGCTGCGGCTGTCCAAGAAACGCGGCACCAATCAAACCACTCGTCATATTGCGAGATCCGGCTTTCGACACGCGTGCACGTTCCAATGACTGTTGCAGCTGAACAAAAAGGTCTTCTTCTCTCACTAGCAGCTCTGGAATGGATTCACGGGGTTGTCGCTTCAAATGATGCCAGGACTCGAGTCGGCTGAACGAGTCGGGAACTGGAAGTTGCTGAAGCGGAGATGCTCGAAGGACATCCAGCAAGCGAGACAACCCATCAGCATCTTCATAGTCTTCTGGAGGGAGATGCTTTACCACCGCCTTCGCAGCGCCAGACAATCTCTGCCAAACCTTCGATGCAGCTAACTTCTGCTCGCTATCTTTGAGAGATCTTTGGTACCACTTGCAAGCGATGGCGAATGCTTCAAAGGAAGAAGCATTTCCATCCCATGTCGGGATATCACCTCCACCAGCAGTTGTCGAAGATGCCATCCCCCTGGAGCAACAACTGCTCCGCTACCATGCACTTGGTAGGGAGCAAGGGGTCAAGCAAACAAAGGTACACTTCTCGATTTGTCGCTGTCCCACAGCGAAGCGCGCGACCATCAAACGGCCCTTTCTACCTTCTCGCTGAAAGTCTTGTGCCCACCCGACTTCGTCGGCGATCGATCAACCACTTGTGGCCTCGGTGACCTCAAAAGGCTCATGCCTACTCCTGAACATGTGTGGAACCTCCAGAGGTATCCCAGTACTCGCACAGTGCGATAAACGGGTTCCAGACAAACAACCTACTTGTGGCATCCACCAGGAGAAATCAAACATCTCTTCGAGTGCTTCTTCAAGTTTCAATCCAAGCCGTCCCAACATAGGGAATTTCAACAAATGGGAGCCTGACAGAGGCATCGCAGCAGAAGTGCAGCTGCGCTGCGTGAAAGATTGGAAGAACTACAGGGAAATGCAACGCAAGCGTCGAAAGGGTTTGCACGTGTAAATAGATGTGTCACCCAAGAACAAATGCATTGAAAAAAGCATAGCTGATGTTGGAACCGAACGCATTGTACCTATGCATGGCAAATATCTATAAATATATACATAATACTTGTTTGCCAGCATTGCTGGCTTGCATATATATATATATATACATACCCAAAACAAGGATATTCAATAATAGAATGACCAAGGGTTGATTGCGTTTTGCAGCTGTTCAGGGTAGATCGGGGTAGTAGTCATCAGCAATGGCAGCTATGGATGTGCAAGATATTCAATTTCTACTTTTGTTGCTACTGCCAGGGTTGGTGTTGGGCATCATCGGGACCCTCATGACTCAATATTTGATGCGCCGGGTTGCATTACACACAGTGGTGAAGGTGGATGCGGTGACAACTGGTAAAGCAGCCAAAGATGATGATGCGAGCATCATTTTCCCCAATGAACTTTATCAATCCAGCAGCGGACGTGTGCACAAAACATTCCGCTGCAGCAATATGAAAAGTTGGCAGAAAGTGCCAGCTTGTTCCAAGTGCTTCAAGCTTGCTTAGCAATAGCACTGAGATATCTTAGAAAGACAGGCCACGACTGCAGCTTAGTGTCTCAAAAGGGTGATATATTTATATAGACACAGAGAGAGAGAGAGAGCGAGAGTCTGGTGTGGTTGGGTCCAAGAATTGGGGTGCATATTTGACTGGATACATATCAAATAGTTGACATATCCTTGTTACAAATGAGTTAGGACTTTGGTGGTCGGATGAGTTAGGACTTGCTTGGGTTAATTCCTCACTCATGTGTGTAGGGATGGTGGACATGCCCTAGATAGACTCCAGAGATAGGAACCAAATAGGTGAACTCTGCCTGGAAATCAAAATCAAACTTGTCCAAATGTATATGTGTGTTTAAATGTATTTTATCAAAAATCTTGCAGATAGAATATGTTTCTGTGAAACCTCTTCTCGGCAGGACGGCAAACTATCTCAAGCTCTTTCTGGATCCATCCAAGCGGCAGCAGCCAAAGGCAAGGAAATCGCGGACAAGAATGACGCAATACAGAAACTGGCCAATAGTCAGGCTGGAAATCTACATGAGATTGCAGAGGAATTGGGCAATGAATGCAAAGTTGCCGCGATTGCAGAATCTGAAGATGTCACACAAAATTTTCTGGAAACAATCAAGTTTACTGGACCATCATGTTTGACATCCCAGTACTTTGTGTACAAAGGTTTGGTTCACATGTTGATGGGACGAAACGTGAATGAGAATCAAAACACCTTGGGAATCATTGCTGGGACTGATGGTGCAGCGATAGAGGTGTGCTTGGGTGCAGATGTTTCTTCAATCCTTGCGTGCAATGAGTTGAAAGAGCGGTGGGACAAATTGGGTTATGATATCATTGGTATTGTTGCCTGGGACGATAGTGCTACCGCTGCCAAGTACACAGACGCAATGGCACAGCTTCTGTCATTGAAGGAAACATCTTTCCTGTTGATGGTGTGCAATTCAAGCGGTGACCCTGACACATGGGAGTTCAATTCCGAAAGCAATGCTGGTGATTTTACAATGGTGGATATAAAAAGCAGGAATAAGAACCGACGGAAAGACATGGAGTACAAGGTTTTTCATGTCGATCGAGTTGGAGTTTGCTTTGAAGATCAAGCAAAATCTGCTGTTGCGAAAGCTATGGAAAAATATTTGGTTGAGAGTATGACCACTGACTCACCTGATGATACGTGTGCATTCTGGAAATGGACATCGCCTCCGGATGGCTATTGCTTCTGGCATGCAGTCTTAGCCGGATTGAATGATTCCTACAGACGTGTGGCGCGACGTGAAAATGGCTTTCCAGTGAATCCTCGTCGAGAAAAAGCAGAATCACAAGCAGCCAAGAACCTAATGATGACTTGTGTTGGCTCTGCAGATGCTGATGCTATGTTCAAAAACGGATATGTTGAGCTGCAACAGATTAGGGATATTGGTCTGCAACTCAATCTGGCTATTCGTGTCACAATTGAGGATGAGGCCGGCCAATGTATGTCACCTGTATGTGCACATGTAGTAGCAGTTGTTGCACATAGAATATATATATATACAGTATAAATATATACATTTACATTATTATTGTTTGATTTGTATATATACATATGTTGATATGTATATATATATATATGCATATAGGATCATATATATAGGTATATATATATATCCCTGCAGGTCTTTGCAATGCTCGGAGATGCTGAAGAAGTCCAGGATGATTTTCCACAAGATGCAATTCATGGTGTAAAGCGTGATGTCCCCGATGTTCATGTTTACTACCAGTGGATTATGCATTCTGAGAGTGGGGTGAAGTACAGTCATTATGATTTGCTTTTGAATGCCAGTTCTGCTACGGAAACCAAACAGACTATCAATTTGCCAGCTCAAGCAGAGTTTGCAGCATGCAGCAAATCAATGAGCAAACAAGAGCAAATCGAACAATTTCTGAACCCTGCTACTTATGCTGGCCGCACCTATCAGTTTGCAAAGTTGGAGGGGAAACTAGTTCCCTGTGTGGATCCAAATTCATTCATGAAGCAGGCAAATGCTGATGATGTGCAGACGTTCTTTGCTCCTGACTCTTATGAAGGGAAGACCAAATATACATTTCCACCGCTGCCGCCTGGTAGATTGACAGGTCATGCTGATTTGACTAGAGAAAGGTTTGAAAAGCACTTCAATATTAAGAAGCTTCACCAACAAGATCAACAAGAAGCTTTGGATCCCACTGCTGTTGCAAAGAATGGCCAGACAGAGTTG